ACCAAGCCAGACTGAAATGACATGTGATGTTTCTCTTCATGCCGAAGAGGTGCAGGATGAGAAGAATAGGGCTTTGCTTGATGGCCAGGCTCATGGTCAGGCTTGTGGCCAGCAGCCTGGCATGGTGCTGGTGCCTGACTCTCCCAATGACTAAAGATTCACTCTGGATTCAGAATTTACTTCCAATTCCTCGATAAAGGCAGGTGCCATTTGCTCTGCGGGGCCTTGGCCCTTGTGCTAACTTGTGCTCCAACTATTTTTTTTCTGTCTTCTTGTCCTCCTATTTCCTAATGACGATGCAATCAGGTTTTGGGTGGGAAATTCCTCATGAGAAAGCTTGTTGTTATTTAAGAAAGATCATGAAATCCATCCTTAATGAAAGGAGAGGAGAAAACCCTTCCACCAAGTTACACTGAAGCCTGAGATTATCATTTTTATGGGCTTCCAATCTTTCCTGCCTCATGTCTTATCAGCAAATGCAGCTGGAGGCTTCAAAAACCCTCCCAGCTTGCTGCTGATTTTATGGGCCGAAGATTAGAGATGATCGGATAGTAAATTATTCATTCCATTCGATAGCAGTGGGCAGGAGGGAATATCCAGAGCGAAGTCAGCTCCCTTCTCCTTTTCCGAGCATCATGTATTGGGATCCCAGCAATGCAGCGGCACATTCCCCAGTGATCAGGGATGATTAGGGGTGCAATGTGCCCTCAGAAAAGTCGGGAAAACCGAGGAGGAGTCATGGATGCAGGCTCACCTCCCAGCAATAAGGCGGACCAGAGGCAGGTGGATTTTCTTCTCATTTAAGGGATTTTTAATTTGATTCCTCCCAGCTCAGGGCAAGGTGGAACTGATCAGGTAGGTTTTTTTCTCAGCCTCGTTTTCCAAGGTTGCAGGGCCTGTGGCTGATGTGAAAGTGCTGTCAGACCCTTGGCAGCTGTTGACCCCAGGGACAAAGGAGCAGGGAGCTCAGACAGGACAAATCCTGGCAGCTGTGGGCAAACGGGCAGCTGGATGGAAGAGAGAGCCTGTTGCTGCCCTTATAGGTGTGTGGAGCAGCAGCATCAGGCTCCCCAGCACAAACAGCAGCTGGTGTGAATGCTGCCCAGAGATCTGTGCCAAAAATCAGCTTGTGCAAAAAAAATTCTCCAGAGGGTCCCAAGAAACACACAGGGGCCATGGCGATGCTACTGAGCAGGTCTCAAAGCTAAAAATTAAGGGCGTTCCTGATGCTGGTGCTATGTCTGGGCCCCATCTCGGATGGCTGCTGGGTACCAGCTCCCAGCGTGTGTCCAGCCAGGGGCATCCAGGCTTCCTGAGAGGAGGAGAAAATCAACATTTTTTGCCAAACAAAGGTCCAGGAGGGATCACAGCCACCGCCACGCCACCCCCTTCTTCCTGCTGCTTATTCCAGGTTTGCAATTAGCATCAGTCCTGTGGGACTCATGAGCAGTCTAATAAAATGTTGAATAAAATGCCGAGAGGTGTTGAATAAATTGCCCTGTGTGCATGTGCAGGAGTAAATGGCCCAGCTGAATCCCAGGCTGGTGAGAGGAGGATGAGGCCAGTGTGGGGTGACGCCCCTTTACCCCAACATTGACACTGGCGTTTTCAGCAGCAATAAGAAAATATAGTGCTGTTTAAAGGCATTTTTAAAAAGGGGAAGTGAGGTACAGAGCTATGATGAACAAAAAGCCCGGAGCTGCCTTCTTCTGCTGCAGTTTATCCACACCGATACACCGGGCCAAGAAAATGCCCTTTTCACAGCAGTTGTAGCTCCTGGCTCTCCCTTGGCAGCATCCATCCCAGGCAGGATTTGAAAGCAAGTGCTGAAGGGAAATGGAAGAATTCTGGTGCAAGCAAGAAATATTTGGTTTTGATGGCAAATGTCAAAAGAAACAAGCAATTAAAAATTCGGTTTGTGTTTTCTTTTTTTTTTTTTAATTTATTTTCTTTCCAGAGCAACTGTTGAAACATAAATTCAGTATTATTTTTTTCTAGGAAATTTCTTTAGGGAATGTTCAGGCTTGCTTTCATATATTTCCTTTATTTTTGTGGCTCTTTCTGAAAGAGGGGGAGGAGATGGAGAGGATGAAGGAGGAAAGGAAGGAGGGAGGAAGGAAGGAAGGAAGTGAAGGAGAAAGAAAAATAACCTCCATAAAAACACAGAGCCCCACAACGTTTTTTGAAGAGGAACCAGCATCTGTGCTCTGAGTCATATCACCCAGGAACACATTTTAGGGTCAGGAATGTGCTTTAAGTTAATGGTAATTTTGGCTAAAAAATACATATTTCTTAGGGGTTAGGGGGAAAAAGTGATTTTTTTTTGAGGATATCAGCATAAATCCTGAAATTCCAAGACCTGCTTTGTGTGATCTGTTGTACAGGCAATTGCTCACATGAGTCACTGGGAGCTGAGTCTGGGTTTGACTAAATGTTGCCAAGATGGTTTGGCCTTCCATGCCTCAGTTTCCCTCACCCGTAAAATGGACCCTTAGAGCTTTGACTCACCATGTCTGAGTGATGCTGAAGGCTTAAATAAGAAAAACAGCAAGATTTCCAGCTTGCTGCAGCAGAAAGGCGTAAATTCTCATCTCTGCAGGTCCCAAGCCGTGGCCAGAACAACAAAAGCAAAAGCTGGGTGGCAAATTATTTGCCGAACTTTTGGACTTTGCCCCTGCAACAAGGCTGCTGCCATTACAGTGACTTGCTATATTCATCCCCCCCAGGCTGGACCCAGGGATATGCAACCGAGCAGGTGCCGCAGGGGCTTTTGGCCACAAGAGCACATACCTTCCTAATAGCTGCCCTGGGCTAAAGAAGGTGCATTGGAGCACAGGAGAGCTTTTAGATAAGCAAATGAGAAATTCCCTGGCCTCATCAGCAAACCCCAAACAATGAAATGATTGAATGTTTCAAAATTTCTTACCAATGCGGGAATGGGCAATGGTAAAGGGCTATTTGCTCCTTGGGAGTTAGCTGACAGCCTGGAAGGCACAGCAGCCTCGCCTTCATCTCGGCAGCTGTCTGTCACATCCTTTCTCCCCAGCATGCCGTAAGACATGGGTGAATCCTAGATTCATCCCTATCTTTGGAAAATCAGTCCAGGGTCCCAGTAGCTGGGCTGGGCAGAGCCCTACGGTGAGAAGACAACACAGAGTGCACGTAGGGGAGGACCAGAAAGGACCCCACGATCAACCTGCCACAGCCCCAGGTGTGATTAGAGGTGGATAGTGATAGCAGAAACATGTCTTAGACCTTGAATTTTCCAAGGGCAGCAGCAGGACAGGCTTCTTTAGGACTTCTGATCTGCTGATAAAGCCTTCTGCTCTAAACAGGTTGGTTTTCTGCTGTTTCTTTTTTTTTTTTTTAATTTTGCTAAAAGATGAGCAACAAGCAGGCGGCAAAGATCACAAGCTCCATGTGCTTTTCCAGACAGATAATGTGGAAGGAAGTCATGGTGAACCCAAAGTTCACTCTCATTTTTATTTCTCCACAAGCCATTCGTGTAACAGGATTAGATTGCTTTTATAGGGCCTAATTATGGGCAGGTCCCTGTCATAGCTCTTCCTTGTCTGGTGAAGCAGAAGATTCCCTGCCCCATGGAGTTCATAAGCAAAAACTACCAGGGTTGGGAATGGGATTATCCCACATTGCAGGTGGGGATTTGGCCATGGAAAAGAATTTGGAAAAGAGCTAGGAACTGGCCATCAGTCTTGTACAGCTCAAGACAGCTCGAACTTGTTTTCATCATTATAGATCCAGGGGAAAGAGGAAGGATGAAGGAGGGCAATCCTGCACCAGCGGGTATGTATGCCTGAGGGTGCTGCATGTTCCCGACCATGGGTCTTTTGTGGGTGCCAATGATGGGACCTGGGACCCAGGTGGGGTTGCTGGGGTTGCTGGTGGGGGCACCACCAGACCTAGAGGCAGGGAGCTCGGATGCTGCCAGGGGCAACTCTCAGTGGCCCTGCAGGGCAGGGATTACAGGGACACATCATGAGAAGCGTGACAACAAAACCACTGGCTCACAACTTTAAAACTTCCTTCAAGGTAACTGAATTTGCAGAGCTGTGAAGCCAAATAGCTTTTATTCTTCCTGTGGGGTGAGTTCAACAGACATCCAAACCCAGCATGGTCTGGGAAGCTGCTTAGCTCGGGACATGCCACTTTCCCCGTCCCACAGTTTCGGCGCAGCTGAGGTGAAGGGCCAGCCATGCTATCTGCTGCAAGTCTTCGAGTGTTTCTATCATTTCTGATGTCGAAGAAATTTTGGAAAAAGCCCTAAAACCTCAATAAAATGAGCACCCTGTTTGCTCTGTTTAACAATCACTCAATTTAACAAGGCGTGGGAGGTAGGAGGCAGCACTCGCATCACGTCTGGTTTATTGAACAGATGTTTTTAAACAACAAATGTGTTTTGCTGAGTTGTTAATCACACTTGCTGAAAAGAAAAGAGCAAGGAAGTGCCAAGCAACTCCTTGCATCCCTGGAACCTGGTGTCCCGCAGGGTGGGAAGGGATGGCAGAGCTGGGGCATTGCTGTACCCCTCACTTCTCCTGTCGCAGGGAGGGGGACTTGGGGACACTCAGGTCCTGTTCAGCCACATTCCCCAGGCACAGAAGCTGTGTTGGGAAAGAGATTTACCCATCTGGGCGTCGCTTCTTCCTCCTGGGCTCATGCAAATGTTTTGCGGTTGAGTCCCCTTCCACACCCTAAGGGGACAGTCAGGTTCAAGTCACCGTGCCCCAAATTCCTTGCCAAGAGTCGCCAGACAAAGAAAGAAAAAAAAGAAAGAGGCACTTTTCTTCCACTCCTTCCCGCAGCAGCAGGATCTGAATAACCAGAGGTGAGCATCAGCCGCCCTTGTTAATGCGTTTGATAATTGACCAAGCGCTGAGTCCTGTGGGAGGGCGGCCGTGCCCAAGTGCAGCGTCCTGTGAGGAGGGGCCACGCTCAGCTGCTCCTCCGTGCCCTGAGAGCCCGTGGCCCTGCCTGCTGCCATGCCTGTCCGCTGCCTCCTCTTCCTCCTCCTGGGGCTGCTCCTGGGGCTGGAGCCCGCCCGCTGCCA